TCACAAAAGTGCCAAACATCTTCATGTTCAAAACAAGTACAGGCAATTCACGCATCTTACTGTGCTCATCGTGAAGCAAAGGCCAAGAAAGCCCACACAATAGCAGAAGAGCAAATAACTGGTGATTATTATAAAAATGGTTACGAATATTTCAATCATTTTACTTTAATTTGCTGGTTTGTTCTGTTCACCAGGATAAGTGTTAATGTTTTATTAACAGTTCAGTTTGTTTAATAGTAACTGAGCTTTTCTTTACCCTAACCACTGTTTACAGTATTTGACGTTTTTACTCTGTAATATTACTATAATTTGATACATTTTGTTTGACAGCAATAAAATATTGTTTATTTGTAAGTCTTGGTGATTTTCTTATGATTTACTTGTCACTACTTGTATATGTTGACAAATAAATACAAATGAATTATAATTCCTAAAATTGTATTATAGTTCCTAGAAATTTGGGTCGCGGCTTGATGACCAATGGGCAAACCATGGCCATACCAGATGAGAGCACTGCCTTAAGGTAAAGCAGAAAATGTTACCGGTTTTAAAACCTTGACCACTGTATACCTTATAAATGGTTATCACTCCATGCCTACTTATCCTGCACTACACAATTTTGTGCCCAATTAAATCAATAGTTGATATTTTGGTTTCAAAACCATTCCAGGAAATACATTATTCACAATACCAAATATAGAGAAATACTAAACACTAAAGACGCCAAAGACTTGTCCAAGTATCCACACTTTATTTTCTAATTGATGTTTAAGTGGGTTTAAAATCTGCAAGTGTGTGTCAGAAACACATGCAATGTTTAAAAAAAGTAGCTCTATTTTATATTTTAATATTTTGCATATTAAAATAATCTTATAAATGTCTGTTGAGTTTTCCCTAAAGAAGAGGACACAATTTAGTAATGGTGGTGCTTCTAATTAAGTGCTAAAAAGCAGTTGTAGACGATTGTACCCACAAAAAGAAAAATACTTAGTTTTACTTGCAAATTGAATGTGGAATTGAATTTGCTGTGTTTTTATAGACACTGGACAGTCTTCCTATTGCTTGCATGTGTTCTCAAGTTGGCCAAGACTGAATGTGAGAATTCAGAAGGGTCCAAGATGCAAGACATTCCTCTGTTTTCCTGCTTAATAGAGAGATGATTTCTTGTTTAATTAGTTTTTATAACAAAAGTCGTATTTGTTTTAAGCGATTAAACTAAAAAATTAAACAATATAGCTGTATACACTTTTTTTATGTTTAGAAATGTATTTCTTTTGTAAGTTGTTCCAGTTAATACATTTAATTAGATCAAAATTTAACCTTAGTTGCAATACCATCATTATTCATAAAAAATTTTTATATTGTTTCAAACAGCTCTCACCAAAAAATCATTTCAGAGCAGTGCCATCCGGCATTAGAACAATAAATTACAGCTTAGAGGAAACTTGGCCTGGCTGACTGTGGAGTCTGCCAAACATATAATCATTAAACTCATAAATCCGTACAAAGAGAAAACCAATTTCAATGTAAGATAAAGCGATATAAGACCTCAGCATAAAAAACATCCAGGAGAAAACCTCTGGGGAAATGTACCAAATCTCTTAAGTGAAGCATTAAGTGACATCTCATTCGATTAAGCAACATCCCTGCCAAACATCTGCTTTATCGTTTTCATTTATATCAATATATGCTTTATAAATGCTTATGATAGTCAGGTGCCTTCTGTCTGAAGTATTTTGTATTGTTTTCAGGCAAGGCATCTTTAATCTGGATAACTTTATCAGGAAGGACTCAGGGTGGTGGGGGTGGGGGGTGTCACAGTGGTGCAGGGGGTAGCTTGATCACCTCACAGCAAGAAGGTCGCTGGCTCGAGCCCCAGCTAGGTCAGTTGGCATTTCTGTGTGGAGTTTGCATGTTCTCCCCATGTTTACATGGGTTTCCTCTGGATGCTCCGGCTTCCTCTACAAATCCAAAGACATGCGCTATAGGTGAATTGGGTAAGCTAAATTTGCCGTAGTGTATGAGTGTTTGCCTGAATAAGAGTGTATAGGTGTTTCCCAGTGATGGGTTGCAGCTGAAAGGGCATCCGCTGCGTAAAACATACGCTGGATAAGTTGGCAGTTCAATCTGCTGTGTCGACCCCAGATTAATTAAGGGAATAAGCCGAAAGGAAAACAAATGAAAGTCAGAATGAATGAATGACTCACATGGATAAAAAAACTTTGGATAAAACATTTGTCTTAAACTGCATTACATATGTGGCTGTTTCAAAAGACATTTCACTCGGGTTAGAAAGAAACAGAGATGGAAACAAATAAATCAGAAGCATTATGAAAGACAAATACTTATTAAAACAATTGGAAACAAATCTTTCCACACTCTTTAAAGCAGCATTTGGTGAAATTAACAGTTTGGATTCTGTGGGATTAATTTACAAATCAGCATCAAAAACTCTCCTTCATAAACTGGATGTTATTTACCATGCTGCAATTAATTTTGTTACTGGTGCGCCATTTATTACTCATCACTGTCAGCTGTATTCTTTACTAAATTGGCCTTCAATTTAATCACGTTGACAAATTCATTGCTTTCTGTTCATTTACAAAACTCTTATTGGGAAAACTCAGTCACTTCTTAACATTCAGAAAACCTTTTGAAATCTCGCTCCAGTAGTTTTATTAAACTTTGTATACCGAGAGTTCGCATTTCATTTGGTCGCTACTCTTTTCAGTTTTCTGCTGCTGATGCTTGGAATCATCTGCAGCAGATCTTAAAACTTTGCACTTTTATTGCACTATCATCCTTTAAAAATTCAATCCAGTTAATAGTACAAGATCACTGTGCACTGTTTTTAGTTTTTCATTGGTTTTATATGTTATTATCTGCATCTGTGAAATTGTTACTGTATTGTGTCCCTGCTACTTTGTGCTTTTTATGTTGCCTCTTGGCCAGGTCGTCGAGAACTGAGGCTCAGTTGACTTACCTGGTTAAATAAAGGTTGTTATTATTGAAAGATTATGTGCATTTTAGTTCAGTTGCATTTACATTGATTAAACTCTGATGTGATATGATGGGGTGACCTGTGCCTCGACCCCCACAAACTGATAGGTGTGAACTAAATGACCCTTTTACAATCTCAATGGGTATTAGCAAAACAACAGCTGAAACATCTGAAGAGGGTCCTGCTGAGCCTCGTAAACAGAATGGTTTGTTTGATGCTAATATAAAGTACTGTCTCACAGACAGTACTTTGAGTTAAGTTACTTGAAGACCGACGGGTTAACATCACTGCTGAGGAACTGCACTATTCATTGTCTTCAATAAAGTCTTCTCTCCGTAAGAACTTTGGTCAGCTTACTTATTTTATGTGTTAGAGTAATCTAATACATTGGCGAGCCCCCCAAGAACGGTTAAGCCAAATACAGCAAAATCTAACAATTTGGCGAAGCCAGCCAGGAGAGACTGAAAAGAGGAAAACTCATCAACTGCAACAAGAAATGAATTGAAGAATCTTGGAGAATCTACAGTTAAAGCTGAAGATAAACGGATTTTGTTTGTGGACGAGTCCTGGATCTACATATTGTATCTGTGGACACCCTTTATTTTAATCAACTGGATCTCATCTCAAAGATCCTAGTTTGGTGAGTGAAACTTATCAGCTCTCTTAAAGAACCCTTAAAAGAAACATCTTTTATAAGTAACCATTAAAGTAAGCAGATCGACCTGTATATGTAGTGCAGTAATAAACTAAATACAGTGATAGTATTGCTGAAATTTCAGGCTTTCTCTTGATATTTGCAGAAATTGTAAAAGAAACAATTTGGTCCATTTATCAAAAGATTTTGAAAGAGCAGTGGAAATTTTAGGCTTAGTCCATTCTCAGGGTACTTGTAGGAATTATTTAAATAATTTGGTCCTTTCTCATGGAGATTGTAGGAATTGTTGAAAATAATTTGGTCCATTTCCCCAGGGGACTGTAGGAGCCGTAAAATAGTTTGGGACTGATGTTGCTGCAAGAATTAGGAATTCTTGACTGGGTGCTAATTCAGTAGCCACTATTTTAATTTTGAAGGTAACAGAGCCTTCTGTGATAGAAATCTTAAAACATTGTAGGTTTGGTTCGTTTTCTAGAGTTTGCATGAACTGTTAAATAATCATTCTGGTCCAATCACTAAGATTATGCAGAAGCAGAGCTTGGTCCATTCTCAGCTGTGATTGTAGAGATTGAAAAATAACAGTTTAGCTTATTTTTCCAAAGATGGTTATGAGCCATATAAAGCAAACATAAAAAGTTTGAGACTGATATTGCTGCAAGAATGAGGAATTCTTGACTGTGGGCTAATTCAGTAGCCATTATTGTAATTTTAAAAATTCTAACTGTTACAATATGATGGCATAAAACTGAAAGCTGTTTGCCTTAGGTTTAAGGATACAGTGAGATTTAAGCACATTGTATTAGGGACAAATCCTAAAGAAAGTTACTTAGCCTTCTAAGATAATGCTCAAAAAGAATTGTTATTAGACAGAAGCTTTCAGGCAATTTTAGGCTTGATTCTTGCTTTGAAGATTGTAGAAACTGTGAAAAAATAATTCTGGTCAAATCACTAAGATAATGCAGAAGCAAAGCTTGACACATTCTCTGTTGGGATTGAAGAGATTGTAAAAGTAATAGTTTAATACATTTGTTCAAAGATTGTTAGTAGCCAAATAAGATTTGGGACTGAAAGAATGAAAGTGGTAATTTAGTAGCCACTATTTTAGCTTTGAAACAAATGTTGAATCTGTCTATGTATTTGTAATGGTTTAACAGACTGCTGTTAATTTAAATTTGAATAAGCACCTTTATTAGCTCTAACACCTTTTGTTCTGTTTCACACCTCTGAGAGCACTGTCCTGTACTTCCCATGGCTGAGTCTTCAAGAAACTATGCTAATGGAGCTACCCTGAGAACAACATCAGAAAAACATGGAACAGAACCTCCATGTGTTACCATTGACCAGATGTTGGAGAATTTGAATGCATATTTAGACAAAAGGCTGGGACTGAGGAAGTGTCGTGATGATGTATGCAAGAAGTACAGCATCAAGCACTCAGGGAGTGGATTATGGGCATTGCCGGACATTAAAAGGGCTTATGGAAAGACACAGCGCTTATGCACAACCACCAAGAAGGATGGATTGTCTGTGATTTTGGTTAAGCAAATTCTTCAACATGAGCATAAGTGTGAGACTGACAGATTGGAACGTGAGAACAAAGCGGAGAAAGCTAAAGTTCGAGCACTGGCTGAACAATTGCAAAACTTAAAGGCGCATAAAGAAAGACTGGAAAAGGAAAACAACAAGCTATTGACTTTGATCTCCAAACAGCTGGAATCAAAATCTTCAAGCAGCTTTGTTGACAGTGAGGCTGATCTTTCCATCAACACCTGTGTTCATGACCCAGTGAACTCAAAGATTAGATTAGCTCCTGTGATTGTCAAACACAGAAGGACTAACGTTGAAATTGACAATGAGGAGGGCTATGAAGACAGTGGAGAGAGACGAACTCGCACTGTGACAAAAGTGGTAAAGAAGTATGTTCCATACAGGACATACCATCCAGCTACTCCAGAGCAAGTTGACAAATGGTCAAAAGAGCTGCCAGATGTATACAAACAACCACGAAAGGTTTGGCAGTTTCTTCAACGACTGCAGAAAATCTACATTTTACATCCACTAGATGGTGTGATGATTCTTAATGTCACCCTAAGAGACAGTGACCAAAAGAGACTCACAGAAAGTGTTGAAAGAAGGATTGGTGAATCACAAGAAAACATAGAGGATGGATGGGAAGCCATAAAAAACTTCTTGTTTGAACTGAAACCTGCAGAGGTCAATTGGGCAAGAATTACCTCATGCATGCAGAAAACTGGAGAAAGTGTTGCAGAGTTTGAAGAACGCTTCAGACATATATGGACGGAACATTCTGGTCTGAATACAAGTGAAGATCTTGACAAAGACACTGGAATTCCCCTGAAAACAGCATTTGTCAATGGACTCAATCCTGAGATTTCTAAAGATCTTAAAATCAGGTATGATGACTGGGACAGCACTGTAACAACTTTCATCCAGATTGTTGAATGGTCAGCTAAACTGGAGAGAGCACAAGATGTCAGACTCAGATCTTTGCAATCGAAAAGTTTGTTTTACAAGAACAGAACAATTGAGGATGAGCAAAAAGAACGTGAGTATATGGGATACTCAAAACTACGAACTAAAGGAAGATGCAGAAATTGCAATGAAGAAGGACACTGGGCCCGTGAGTGCAAGCTCAGTTTAAAACATCAAAGCCAAGATGATGACCACCTGTTCAAGCAGTTTCAGCAGCTAACAATACAACAAAAATAGACTCTGCTAAATGCTGTACAGCCGCAGGGAAACTGAAGAACCTCTCTCTGCAGCACCAGCTAGTGACGTCTTTTCCAGAAGCTGATGAACTGAATGTGTATGCAAACAATAAGGTAAAAGCTGACACAGAAGTCTCAACAGATGAAGACAAGTTTGATGTCCTAGTAGATGGTGTTGCCAAACAAGCCGTAAAGGAGAGAGGTGAACATACAGCGGCATTAAGACAGCTTCAGAAAGACCACGGATCTTTAGTCTTAGACAGAATGCAGACTGCAAATGAAAAGTCTCCAAAAGAAATGCTGATGGACGATGCACAAGAACTGCGTGATGGCAATCAATGCAGTATGGATGGAAACAGACTATGCCCTTTTGAACATCCCCCAAGCCAGCCCATGTCCACAGAAAACCTGACATCTGACAGCCTTGTCCAAAACAAAGCAAGACTCAGCCTGGCAGTACATGAGGACAATAATCAAGTTTTGTCACCTCTGAAGAGGGGCCATAGTTTAGAGCCCAGTAAATGGGTAAAGACACGACAACCTCAGAAACTACCACTAAAATCCAAGTGGAAGAGCTCACTTGAGAAAGTTTTAGTATCTGATTCAATAATTAATGTTCAGGGACTTGATGAATGGATCAACGTGAGTTTGCCTAGAGACGAGGGATAGATGACAGTAGTGTTTTTCAGAGTCCAGATATGGCGGGACTAGAGTTTTTAGGCTCTAGCTTGTCGCCTGAGGATGAAGACATTAACCACCACTGATAAACACTGTAGTGTCCTGTCAATATTAAATAGGGACAGTTTCTATACTTTCTATAGGCAGTTTGAAAATTTCTCTGAAATCTTTTTCTGGGCAAGATACGTTTCCCTTTTCCCTTTTGTGTGATTGCAGGTGTTCCAGAGGATGACCAGAGACACACAACACCAGACACCTAGATGAACACACCTGAACATCCACAGAACACAACCACATCCTGCTACTTCTACAACATCACAACTTTAAATAGAAATGGACTCAGGCATTTGAGGAAATGCAAGCTTCACCATGACTTCTTATTCTGTCACTTTAAGTTATATAGCCTGTATTGCAGATTTCTGTATACATGATTAACTTGTTTTATGATCAAATATGATCAGAGGAGGGATTGAAAGATTATGTGCATTTTAGTTCAGTTGCATTTACATTGATTAAACTCTGATGTGATATGATGGGGTGACCTGTGCCTCGACCCCCACAAACTGATAGGTGTGAACTAAATGACCCTTTTACAATCTCAATGGGTATTAGCAAAACAACAGCTGAAACATCTGAAGAGGGTCCTGCTGAGCCTCGTAAACAGAATGGTTTGTTTGATGCTAATATAAAGTACTGTCTCACAGACAGTACTTTGAGTTAAGTTACTTGAAGACCGACGGGTTAACATCACTGCTGAGGAACTGCACTATTCATTGTCTTCAATAAAGTCTTCTCTCCGTAAGAACTTTGGTCAGCTTACTTATTTTATGTGTTAGAGTAATCTAATACATTGGCGAGCCCCCCAAGAACGGTTAAGCCAAATACAGCAAAATCTAACAATGTTTTTAATTAAAACACAAAAGACTGCTGTGAGAAATACTTTAAAATTGAATTAATTTACAATAAAAAAAAAAGATTTGCTAAAGTTTTAAACGTTTAAAGAAGCACAGTTCTTTTTTAAATCTGAAAAACTGCATTTCTTAAAACACAAAACTCACAGGTTCTACAGTGCAAAAAAAAATGTATAATTTACAGTTAAAAAACGGCAGCTGTGGTTGCTGTAGTTTAGCTGTTAAAAATATGGCAAGGAATTGAAAAGAAATGTAAGCCTGATCTTACGAGAAAACATAAGTATTTTACGTTTTGCCAGTTTAGTGGCTAATTCAGGCTAGTTCAGTTGTACGAAATTGTACGATTTTAAAAAGGAGGCGTGGCACCTAACCCCATCCCTAAACCCAACCGTCACTGGGGGATGAGCAAGTCGTACTGAATTGTACGAATTAGATTGTACGAATTCATACGAATTAGCCACTAAATCAAAAAGTTACGAATTGCCGTGAGATCGTGTTGAAAATTTTATGGTAAATTAAGGTAATAAAAACATCATAAAAAGTGTCATGCAGGGAATTCTGGGAAATTTAAATTATAGTTATTCAATTTATACATTAGATTACCTTTGTAATCACAGATGTGTCTTTCACAGTGTAGAGCAGTGCAGTTATTCTGCAAAATAGTACTCTGTTAGCAAGATCTAAGTATTTTTCAGGTTCAGATTAAGGGATGTGTCATGATTTAATTATATTTAGCCAAAAACTGTTCAGTAGTCCTTTTAAGCGATTTAAGTTCTCATTTGAGATTAAAAAGTATTGTTAATGCAAAATGCAGACTTTCAATATTTAATTACCAATTAAATTTGATTATTATTATTTTGTGTAGTCCAGGAATATACTAGTACTAAAAAAATACTGTAGGGTGTTTAAATATTTTACGCACCTTAAAAAGGCCAGTAGTTCACCCAAACGTGTAAATTCTGTTATCATTTATTCATCCTCCACTTATTCCAAACCTGTTCTTTCATTTCTAGGAAGGTATACTGAAAAATGACAGGGAGAAAAAATAATCTTTCTACTATGGATGTCAGTAGCTGTTTTTTCCTAACATTCTTTTATAAATCTTTTTTAGTGGTCAATAGATATGAATTAGAATCAAGTGAGTGTGAGTATGGTAGATGTATGGTGACATTTACATTTTTAAATGAACTATGCCTTTAGTTAGATAAACAGCACAAATCTTTTTTGAACAATAGTTGAAAATCACAACTTAAGGGTTTTTATTTTCTGAGTTGTAAAAAAACAGCATATGCACTTTAGAAACACATTTCTCTGGTTTAAAGACACTCAGGTTGAGTAATATGAAAATGCTGCTTCTTGCACACCTTTGGAAAAGAACCAAAAAAACCCAGACGGATACACACTGTACCTTAGGCAACCCACAGGCTGAGTTGGCATTGAATTTATCAGGCGTCAGTGCCCTATATAATTCACACCTTTGAAAAACTAGGTGTCACAGTGTCTGCTAAACACTGTGTTTTGTGTGGGATGCATCTGGCATTAATCATCTACAGACAATTCGTTTGACAGAACACAGCACCTTTTCTCAAAGTTTGCGTGCTCTACCACCACAATTTTAGCATATTTGTGATCCTTCTGGCCTGATATCAAAACCTCACCCTTAAGAGGGAGACATGCAGATGGCGAAAGGAAGACCACACAAAATACATAGAGACAACTATACAGGAAAATAGAGAATCACTGTGTTTGTATTAATGGAATCAATTGACAATGTGAAGCTCTCTTTTTACTTAACGTAAATAGTTGCTGTGAAATAATGTTTCCAGATTTGACATTTTCTTAATTAGCTTAATATTTTAGTTTCATCTCCTTTGTGATGCTTCCATGCTAAAAAGCTCACCAGAAAAAAGTATGGAGCTAGATCAGTCTCAAGAATAATATATTTACAAAATAAAATGTATACATCAACACAACACTGTTAACGATTCAACAACACACAAATCCAATTCATAAATTCAAAACATGATTCATAAACACACAAATCCAATTCATCAATTAAAAACGTTATTCAAGAATACACAAATCCAGTTCATAAATTGAAAACGTAATTCATAAATACACAAATTAAATTCATCAATTTAAAACATGATTCTTAAATACAAAAAACAATTCAATAATATACGAATTCATTCATTAATTTTCTTTTTAGCTTTGTCCCTTTATTAATCCAGTGACGCCACAGCGTAATGAACCGCTAACTTATCCAGCACATGTTTTACGCAGTGAAGGCCTTTCCAGCTGCTTTCATCTCTGGGAAAGAATACACAAATCCAATTTGTAAATTCAAAACACGATTCATTAATACACTAATCCAATTTATAAATTGAAAACGCAATTTAAGAATACACAAATCCAATTCGTAAATTCAAAACATGATTTATAAATATACAAATCCAATTCATAAATTGAAAATGTGAATTATAAATACACAAATCAAATTCGTCAACTGAAAGTATGACTCAAAAATACACAAAACCAATTTGTAAACTCAAAACAGGATTCATAAATACGCAAATCCAATTCGTCAATTTAAAACACAATTCATACAATAAATACACAAATCCAATTAATAAACTCAAAACAGGATTCATAGATACACAAATCCAAATCATAAATTGAAAACGCGATTCATAGATACACAAATCAAATTCGTCAATTCAAAGCATGATTCAACAATACACATCTAGTTTCATTTATTCATTCATTTTCTTTTCAGCTTAGTCCCTTTATTAATCTGGGGTTGCCACAGCGGAATGAACCGCTAACTCATCCAGCATATGTTTAACGCAGCGGATGACCTTTCAGCTGCAACCCATCACTGGGAAACATCCATACACACTCATTCACACACATACCACTTTGGACAATTTAGCTTACCCAATTCACCCATAGCGCATATCTTTGGACTGTGGGGGAAACCGGAGTACCCGGAGGAAACTCGCGCGAACTTGGGGAGAACATGCAAACTCCACACAGAAATGCCAACTAACTCAGCCGTGGGTCAAACCAGCGACCTTCTTGCTGTGAGGCAGTTGTGCAACCCACTGCGGCCCCGTGCTGCCCAAGATTGAAAACAGTGGCTTAATATTTTTGGAAACTGCATTATTGTTTGGACATTATAGTTTTCTTCAGGGAATAGAAAGTTGACAATAGCTGAACTTGATTTGAAAGAAAAATAACATCAAAAAGCCAAGATCATTTCTACTTTTTAAAATAGCTGCTGTAGTATATTTTGTAAGAATTCTTAAAATGAATTTGGTAAATCAGTCACAATTGTTAGCACAGCTACTATGCATCATTGAGGTCAGACTGTAAAAACACAAAAATAGAAGAGAAATGTTGCTTTTTCAGA